TTAAATTTAATGATTGAGTTTTTTCTTTTAATACTTTCAATCCATTCATAAATTCAATTGAATTAGTTGCTGTTTCACATAAATTATATTTCACTAAAATATCTTCATAGATTTTATTCGATATTTGCATTATAGGTAAACCTATTAATGCAAATTGTGGTGCCATACTTGTTTGATAATAAAGAATACCATCAGCAATAATTTGTGCTTCATCACTAGTCATTGAAGATAAAACTATTTGAATAGAACGATTTGTTAGTAACCATTTTAGAAATAAAAGACCATCTTGATTTTCTGTTTTTGCTGCTGGATGTTGATGAATAATAAAAAGAATATCTTTACATAATTTTTTATCCATACATGAAAGAAAAGTAAGAAATGTTGGAAATGCTTGTTCATAATAAACTTGATTATGTCCACCAAAATAAACAAATAAATATTTAATATTATTCCAACCATATTTTTCTCGTAATTTATTTTGTTCTAATTCACGTTGTTGATATAATTTTTCAGCTATTTCTATTGGATAATAACCAATACCTTGAAGATTTTTATTATTAAGGTTAATTTGAACATCTGGCAAAGAAAATATCTTTGAATCACTTTTAAGTAAATTCATATTTGCAAATAAAATATTTTGAGATAATTTAATCATCTCTCCTGATCTTATTGAATATCCACCAGGTACATATTCTTCTGAATTATCATAATAACACCAAAAACGTATATTACATGATGAAATTTCAAGTTTATTAAAAGCTGTTTGCAGTTTCATATTGAACTTATTTGCAATGTCAACAATAATTGTTTGAGCACCTTGTGTAACACAATTATTGATTAAATCTACAGCTAAAGTTTGTTTTTCTTCACTTTTAAGTCCATCTAACATAAAACTAATCAGACGCATACCATCAAGTAATAATAAATGTTGAAATTTTCCTAAAGCTAATTCACTTGCATAGATATCGATACGTAAGTTACCTATAGCAAGAAGATTTTTAGCAAATTCTGCAAAATGTGTTGCTGGTCCACTATCACAAACTATAAAACATACGAGTGGTAGATGATCATACATTTTCAAAAGAAATAATAAGTTTGCACTAAAATAAGGTATAAGTATTTTGAATAAATCTAATGCTTTAATTCTCAAGAGATTAGTCGATAGTTTTCTATGCATACATATATATATATATACTGTATATTAGTAAGTATATGACTCGATTGGATAAATCCGCCTCTCAAATACCATAAACTTACACGATTAATAGTGACGCATAGTCATTACTAACTTGTTAATAACCATCTGAAAGAAAAAAAAGAA